TGTAAATTAATTGAAACAAAACAAACAATTCCGTTATTATTCACTTTTTTTCGCATTTTTCCAATGAAAAATAACCCAGTGCACATGTTAGTACTTCGTATGTCATTTCGAGGAAGTCTTTCCTTACAGATTGACCACAGATTCTCGATTGAATTTAAATCAGGAGAGTTTACGGGCCATTCTCTAGTACTTTGATTTGCTCACTTGCCAGAGTGTTCGTGCAGCGTTACAATTTTCGTACGCTTCCTTGGAGTAACGTCAATCACGGACAATGGCCGTAGGGCAACTAATCGACAGTCGTGACAATAGTGTCTGGGCCTGATGAAAATATGATGCAATCACGGATGACAATATTTTTCAAGGCCAAACAAATTTCATCATACAACCCAACATCAGAAAAAATACATGTTTCAAACCACCGTACAACAAAAATACAGTTGCATCGAAAAGATGACAAAAATAATAAAACATCACAACAGAAAAACAACCAACAAATCACCTGAACAAATTAAACCCATGTGTAACTGCAGAAAAAAGAACGAATGTTCCTTAAACGGCAATTGATTAAAGAACGACGTAATATATTAAGCCACTGTAAAATCAGCAGATAACGAAGAAAATATATACATAAGAGTAACTGAAATACGCACACAAAACATAATTTACAAATAGTAAATACGCGAACAATGCTTTCTGAATATATCTGAGAGAATAAAAATAATAAAAAAAATCACAAAAAAAAGTATCATGGAAAATATGGAAAACAGCATCAGCCTGCAACAATAAATCCCAAAACTGTAAACTCTGTCTGGATGAGAAAATACCTATAATTATCTTCCCAGGCCAGCACAAACTACTAAATAAACGATCAGAACGCATACCAAATTGCAGACATGAAAAAAAACTTTGCTACTTCACTTAACAATCGAAAATTAAAAAACGAACATGAATAAAGAAAAATAAATAAAGTAAAAAAAATAAATACTTACAAATACATTCCCCTTATGGTACATATTCTTCCATCCATTTGATAAAATTCTCAACAAATTTGTTCTCTTCTTCCTCCCATACTTTCGATGCGACGTGTGAATATTAAATTATTCATGCTTACTTTTTTCATTATAACTGCTCAAAATTCCACAAATCATTTTTTCTGTTTTTTGTTTTTTTCTGATTTGTTACTTTGTGTTCCTATTTTCCATAGAAATCCTTATGCGCCTTCTTTAGTCTTTTCTCAGTATTCCTCGGGAGAAAACATTTCACCGTTACTTCAAAACTTTTTTCGTTTATGGCGAAACTTTCCAACTTTTAATGCTATAGAGAAGGTAAATATCACATTGAAATCTAGAAAAAATCATTTTGATTCAATTTCTGAAAAGTATATTTCCTTCTTCATATACGCCTTCGGTTTTCTTCAATTTCAATATAACTGAAATCTGGAACGTAATTTTGATGTCCCCATTGTGTAAGTCATATTTTTGTCCCTTTTGCTTACTACCTTTTTTAATATATGTTTCGGTTTTCTTTCTGAATCTGCCATGAAAATTATACCATCTGTGTAGCATGTTCGTCTAAATAAATAATATTAGGTCCTAGAATCATCTCGCTGTACTGGCTAAAAGTTCCGGTTAGAAAAACGTATTCTTTGTCCCAAAGTAGTCTTTCTACATTGATGTAATGTGTTCTGTATTCAGATACAAGCCATTTTTTTCAAATGCAATTTGTGGTTATTCATTGTGGTTTTCCTAATTTTTTATTACTGTTCGCTTTGAAAATATTATAACCATGAACATATAATGAACTTAATAACCCCTGCACTGCAGCAGGCGCATTTGGGAAGCTTAATTTATTCTGAAACAAAGCTGTATTAGTGTGATTCCTCGAATAACACTCGCTATAAACGAATTAAGCCTATACTAACCATCACAATAGAATACGACCTGTTGTTACTAGCTTAGTCTAGTCCAAGACTATAATATTTGACCAGTCCGTGAGGAACGAACACAGAGCACGGACGTTCACTGTCAAGATACGGTAAGTATCTTGGTTTATTTAATAAGCTCTGGCACAAGGCATTTTAAATGGCATCAGTAAAATTTTTGTTCATTATCTATCTATCAGGATGTCGATCTTATGCGTTCATGTCTGTTCAGTGGGCATTGAAATAAACACCCAGAAGCAGCAGTCTGTATCATGCTAAATGTTTCAATGTTCACTTTTATATATATACACTTCTATTCTTGATACTGAACACTTTAACCCATAAATAGAGCAATTAAAAACTATACTTAATCATATATATATATATATACATGTTGAGGATAGATGCTTTGAAAAGCAACATTTAAGAATTCTGGCTTTACCTTGGTTTCTAAAAAGCAAGATTTCACTGCTTAATGAATACCCTGCGCTTTGTAGATCACTCGAGGGAATATTCATTGTCAAAAATTTCTGAGATAACAAGTACAATCGAAGAAAATTGGTGAAACAGATTGTGGAATTCTTGGAAACCGGAATAATTTATGTGACACTTTGGCTAAATTACTGAAAGATAAAGAAAGAACACAATTTACAAAGGAGGAAAGAATGAAAAGAAGAAGAAGAAAATGAAGTCTACATAAAAGGAAAAAAAGGGAAAAAAGAAAAAGAGGAATAAGGGAGGAAGAAAGGCAGTGAGAAAGTCAGAGAACGTGAGGAAAGAAGAGAGGAAAAGGGAAAAACGGGAAGTAAAGAAAGAAGAAAGCTAATGAGAAAAATGCCAGAAAAACGACTTACATCAATAAATCAGTAACCTGTTGATGTTTACATAGCTTAAGATAGATTTATAAGAACACTTTGAGACAAGCAGAAAGATAGAACGACATTTAGACAAAGTTTCGATATCCATAAGAACAGAGACCAGAATAGCTAGCCAGACAAAGAAAACACGTTGGGTTTTCGGAATCGACTAGTAGAAATGTCACGTGTTTTTTTTCAGTTAAATCGACTTTTATGGATTGATATTTTCTCCTTCAATAAATTTTGATTAAAGTTTTTCATGATTGACCTAAATCAGTTCAGATTTCTTCCAATCTGTTGATCTCTCTCTCTCTTTTATATATATATATATATATATATATATATATATATATATATATATATATATATATATATTTCCTTATGCGCTCTCTTTTATGAAGATTTTTATCACTGCTATTTTGTATCTGGGTGAACATTCACTCTTAAAATTAAAGTGATATGAGTTTCTGCTAATGGGTTTACTAACTATCCTCAAAAATATTACAAGCATGCGCAACCAAAGTCCCCTTCTACGACCATAATGGCGACATCTACACCCAAATTAACGCTGTTAGTATGGGAAATCCGCTCGAACCCGTGCTTCTGCAATTACTACATGTCTTGCGTAGAAAACATGATAATTAAACAGGTTGGTAAACCTAAAATATATGTCCGTTACGTAGACGATACTTCTATTTTAGCGAAAAACACAAAAGAAATCGATACTCCCAAGAACACATTTGAAAAAAAAAAACTCTGTCCTAAACTTTACTTACCTTTGTCATAAAATAAAGTCCCATTCTAAGACGTGCTCATAGAATACAGTAACAATAATTTTACCGCCTCATTCTAAAACAAATAGCATTCTGTGTTCCGAAAAGAAAACGCTTGTTCGAACACAAAGCTTAAAAAAAGATTAATTGCAGTATCTTGTCTGTCGTATTTAATGAAACATGTATAAAAGAGTAACTGATGTCTAAATACATTATATATATATATATATATATATATATATATATATATATATATATGGGGGTTAGGGCTTGGTTAAGTCTGGTACATGACAAGTGTATGTCAAGCAGAGAAAATGAAATTCACTATGTTCTGCAAGAGTAGTCTCAAAACAGTTTTTCCCTATCTCCGCATAAACTCACGCAAGAACGCGCTTTAGATATTTGTCGATGAAGTTTAGACATAGTATTCTATTAAAAGGTAATTCGATTTTAAAAGTAGTTTTTATCTATCTGTTCTCATATACACTAATTTTGGAAATTACCCATTCCGTGAATTGAAATACATGTAAGACAAACTGAAACAAAGAAGCATTTTCTGATATTATTAAAAAAAATTTATTGATGTAAATTCGTTGAAAGCTCTGCTAGAAGTTAACTGTTGTACTGTACATACGGCATATTCTCCATGCCTTGGAGATGCCGAAAGAAAGAAATTCAAACAAAGAAGAAAAGACGAAAACACTGATTTATTATCAGGGGAGCAACAGATCTAGATTATTATTGAATAATTCAAAAACGATTGGCAATAGGAAACGACCAAGGACGCCCTTCAAATTGATTGCTGCAGGCCATCATCGACTTCTTTGAAAGATATTAAAAGGTGAATTGTGTTCTCGAGGCTCCTGAAATCAACTTGATCTTTAATGTTGCAGCAATCAGAGTCCGTCAATTTGTCAATGAATCGGGCAATGTTGTATTTTATTTCTGTTTTAAAGATCACAAAAGCGCGTCGAATAGACTAAGAAGAAGTGACTTGAATCAAAGAACACTCGGAAAAAGCATTGCTCTCTGATGAGATATTTATTTTCTTATATAATATCGGAAGCTTTTTCAATCAACAATTTTTTCCAACTATTTTCTCACCTTGATTATTATCGAAGTTATTATAGACACGACGTTTCGATCAAGTACACCAAGGCCATCATCATGTGTTCATTCGTTTGTTCGATATGGGATATCTATTGTTTGTGATGTCACTTATTGTTCGTTCCTTCTTAAACCGTGATAGGACCACTAGATGAGAAAACACGTTTAACCAGTTCCTATATACAGTACGTCACTGTCTTGGAGGATACTACAGTAGGGTGTATTTTGGAGTCTTTATTTTCAATGTCAGATAGCTTTGATATTTGTTTGCATGGCGGGTTGGCACCGCTTTTGATAATTTTGTATTTCATGTTCGAAATGAGAAATTATCAATCTAACTTTTCATCTCTGGGATATGGGAATATCGAGGTCGAGAGGGATTAGGGAATATCGAGGCCGTGAGGGATAAGGGAATGTCGAGGTTGAGAGGGATAAGGGAATAGCGAGGTTGAGAGGGATAAGGGAATGTCGAGGTCGAGAGGTATAAGGGAATAGCGAGGTCGAGAGGGATAAGGGAATAGCGAGGTTGAGAGGTATAAGGGAATAGCGAGGCTGAGAGGGATAAGGGAATATCGAGGTCGAGAGGGATAAGGGAATAGCGAGGCCGTGAGGATAAAGGGAATGTCGAGGTTGAGAGGGATAAGGGAATAGCGAGGTTGAGAGGGATAAGGGAATGTCGAGGTCGAGAGGGTATAAAGGAATAGCGAGGTCGAGAGGGATAAAGGGAATAGCGAGGTTGAGAGGTATAAAGGGAATAGCGAGGCTGAGAGGGATAAGGGAATATCGAGGTCGAGAGGGATAAGGGAATAGCGAGGTTGAGAGGGATAAGGGAATGTCGAGGTCGAGAGGGATAAGGGAATAGCGAGGTCGAGAGTAATAAGGGAATAGCGAGGTTGAGAGGTATAAGGGAATATCGAGGTTGAGAGGGATAAGGGAATGTCGAGATCGAGAGGGATAAGGGAATAGCGAGGTTGAGAGGATAAGGGAATAGCGAGGTTGAGAGGATAAGGGAATGTCGAGGTCGAGAGGGATAAGGGAATAGCGAGGTCGTGAGTAATAAGGGAATAGCGAGGTTGAGAGGGATAAGGGAATAGCGAGGTTGAGAGGTATAAGGGAATGTCGAGGTCGAAAGGGATAAGGGAATGTCGAGGTTGAGAGGGATAAGGGAATAGCGTGGTTGAGAGGTATAAGGGAATGTCGAGGTCGAAAGGGATAAGGGAATGTCGAGGTTGAGAGGGATAAGGGAATAGCGTGGTTGAGAGGGATAAGGGAATAGCGTGGTTGAGAGGGATAAGGGAATAGCGAGGTTGAGAGGGATAAGGAAATATCGAGGTTGAGAGGGATAAGGGAATATCGAGGTCGAGAGGGATAAGGGAATAGAGAGGTTGAGAGGTATAAGGGAATAGCGAGGTTGAGAGGGATAAGGGAATATTGAGGTTGAGAGGGATAAGGAAATATCGAGGTCGAGAGGGATAAGGGAATAGCGAGGTTGAGAGGGATAAGGGAATATCGAGGTTGAGAGGGATAAGGGAATCGCGAGGTGGAGAGGGATAAGGGAATGTCGAGGTGGAGAGGGAATGAACACGGAGGTTTAGCAAAGAGAGAAATGCTGTTAAGTGGCACGAGGAATATGGAGAGCCATGACATCTCACATCCTGAACAGAGACGGCATATAGAAAAAGGAGATTGTTCTCATAGTAATTATTAAATGTTCCATTATAGGCATCAATTTTTGGCCCGGTTCACACTCCTTTGCTGTTTTTTAATAGCATTATCGGTTTATCATTTGTTTCCTGTTTAGGATTGGGTTCCCAGTTCCTTCTAACGCCTATTTCAGTTCTATACTTCTGACGTCTCCGCCAGAAGTCTGAAATTTTATTCACTAATTATTTTTCTTCTCCCACCTATCGTCCGGCTCACTCTCCTCCCTGTTTTTTGAACAAGACTAGACGTCTATCACTTGTTTCCTGTTTTGCATTTGTCAACTTCCACACTATGCATCTAACGTCACCGACTGAACTCTGAAATGTCATTCACTAATTAAATCTTGACCTCTTACTCGTATCTTTCCTGCATAGCCCCAAGAACCTCACTTTTTGCCTTTTCTTATGCTAATAGAACACTGCACAGTAATCCTCTAACTTGAGAGGCTCTTGATCCTTGTATTGAGTGAACATTAGTAAATGAAAAAAAATAAGGAAAAAAGGTACACTTTGGCCATTTTCAAAGCTGAATTATTGGCAACGGAATGCAAGGCAAAATTTAGGTGCAATGTAGAAGCGTTAGAGAATAAACCTGCCTCATTTAAATTTTGTCTCCTGTAGAATAATACAGCCATTGACAAGGCTAACATATTACCAATCAATAGACTAAAAGATATCACAACTAAGGATAGACTTGCAAAATTCTTCTCAATGAATTCTTATTGATAACCCATCCTTTCTATATGTCTGTGAGCAAAAAGAAAAAAAAAGAAGAATTTTGGAAGAAAAGAAGAAAAGCTTAATACCTTGTATAAATTATTGTTGAAATGAAATTCCATTTGAATCGTAGGAACATTTTGTCTTTTCACTGTATAACTACTGCATCCATGTTTTGAACTAAAAAAAAAGCCTTGTTAACTACTGTTCTTTTCATGCTTATTTTTTAAATAATACTTATAAGACGTAAAGGATAACGGAATGAGAAATCGGAGAGCCGAGTTCAAATTCGAGTGGGGTCCGTTGCTTCTTCACTGAATAGTAGGGACAGATAGGATCCTATAGCCTTGGCTTGCAATCAGTTTACCGTCGAAAGAAACGAGAAAATCTACTGCGAGAAAATCTTCTGCCTAGTCAGTCATGGCGAATTTCTAAGTGTAGCTTAGATATCACATAGGGCCAAAAATATTGTGCACCCAGTGAGGATCGAACTCACTACTCAGTCGTAATTGTTCTAGCGAGCAAGCTTGCTAACCAATTACATTCAAGAATCAAAAAAAAGAGACTTGATCGCTCAAGCGTCTATTATGGCACGTAACTGATTGGCCTTATACCATTTTAGGCTCACGGAATATATGATTTTTTAAAAAGCTGCATTTACTCATATAAACATACACTTTTTTCGTAAATTTGATCTGCCTATTCCGTAATTCATACACCGAGTGAAAAAATATAATAAAAATTGAATAGAAATTTGAATAAAATTAAATAAAAGATGTTTAAAGTAATCCCTGTTGCTGAAGTATACGTCATATATATATATATATATATATATATATATATATATATATATATATATGTATGTATGTATGTATGTATGTATGTATGTATTAATAAACAATAAAATCCAAAATTAACTCATAGATAATAAACAAAAATATTGTGTATTAATTAATTGCTCTGTATTAATAAATACATTGAACTCTTTTTAGGGATTAGTTTTAATATTTTATATTACTAGGATTCACTTGGATTTATATACTTAAGAATTTCTTAGCTTTACTATATATATATATATATATATATATATATATATACGCTTGCAAGGTTGGTATAGATGGAATAAAATTGCAGTAACCAAAAACACTATTTTTTTAAAAAGTGCTCAATGTAAAGTAGAGCGAATAATATTTATTTAAAAATTATAACATAAATATTTTACAACTTCTGATGTTTTCTCAAGTGATGGTGTTAATTGCATAGAAGTAATACATGTCCGCACCTTCAAATATGAAACCAACAATTCAGCGTATGCTATTATGTCAACATTTCCGCATAGTTGCCTCGCTGTCCCACTATATCCAATTTCTACGATTAGAAAATGATGTCATTCATAGTAACGAAAACTTAAACAAAATTAAAACAAACATTCGTAGGAAAATGAATGTTAAAGATAGATTCCTTTGATGTTTTACTTGATAATTACATTTGTATTACTTCACAATATCAGAAAATCCACAATACAAAAAAAAATCTTCTCTATTTAATATTTAAAGTGAATGTCCTAAGCCGATATAAAATAGCTGTTATAAAGAACATGGCCAACTTTGCTGAAGTAATTTCTTCTTTGGACAGATTATAAATTATTTTCTATTCTACAACCTCTTTCCCCACAGACAAAAAGTCGCCAGAGACTTGCTACTCTATCGCTATTTCCATGGGAAGTGTTCAGGCAAGCTACATTCCGTGGTTATTTTTTTATAAAGAACTGGTCAACATAAACCTGGTTAGCTTTAAATAGTTTGAAAAAATAAACATAATTATTCTCTTGAAAAGAGATGCCCAGTCATTTCAAGCAAGATGAAAAAGCTATTACAAATATAATTAATTTTTCATATCACTTAATTATACTAATAAATGCAAAATATAAAACATAAAAAACTTAATAAAATCGAACTCGAAAATTTATATTTATGTTAAGAAAATCATTTATGTATTTTCATGATCTTTACGAAATTGAATTTTCAGACAAAAACATTAAATTCTTTCATTGATAACAAAATCATTATGCTCACACGTAAGTTAACTTGCCACTTATCGAAATCTGAAATAGGGTGCTATCAGCTATTGTGACTCGGAACGGACTAAAAAATAAAATTAATATGTATATATCTCTTACATATAGTTCCAAACAGCCCAAATATAACGATACTTATATATAATATATTCTTCTTTATATACCGCGTCTCCTCAGGATGGACGCAAACATGGCTCTTCCTAACTTCCTTAACCTTGTAGCTCTTAATAAACTCTTTCTTTCTATTATTTGTCTTAGGCCCTGCTCCGCTATCCATTTTTACTCAAGCTCATTAACTACGTTATGCGTTGTCTTTCTCTGTCCCACTTGCCCCCTATCTGTCCTGTGAGTATTAGACTTTCCAAGCGTTCCTTCCTCATTATGTCCCCCAAAACAAAAACCGTCTGTTCCTGATCTTAATTATTAGTTTCCTTTTTGTATCCACAGCTTCCTTCTCTAGAACCACGTTTCTGTTGCTCCAAGTCTTTGAGGAGATCGTTTAGTACTCATTGATTTTGATAGCCAATAAGGAATCCTGGTAGGAATTTTAGTTCTCTCAGAATCACCTCGCTATATAAGCTGAATAAGTCCGTTGAGAAGACACATCCTTGTCTTGAACTCCATTTTATGTTTGTATGTCTACTGAAGCCATTTTCTATCCATATGCAGGTAGGTGGCTGCCAGCATAGGTTCTTAAGTATTCTAAAATCTTCCCAAAAGGTTGCTGAGAACTTCCAACAAATATTTGTGGCATACTTTATCGAACACCTTATATCGCCACAGTTGTAGATTTCATTAATTATTTCTGCAATATTCTCTATACTGAAATCGTTTAAGGCCACCAGCACCTCTATTACAATCTGGCCCTGCCGCTTTGTTTCTGTTCAATTTGTCTAATGCTACTTGCACTTCAGATTTTAAGATTTTCAGTCCGTCCATATTTCTGTGCATTTACGGTTGTTCTTTTTTTTATCTTGGAAGAGTTCTCCGATATATTCGTTCCATCTATGGAGTAGTTTCTTCTTTTTGTAATATCATTGCCCTTTTTTAGGACTTTATGCATCCTGTTGATAGGCATGACCTTTGTCCTGTTCTTTTATTTTTTTATGCATCTGCTTTATTTGTGTTACTCATTGATTTTATTTCTGCATATTTTTCGTTAGGTCATTCCTCTTTAGCTTGCTTGCATTTGTTCTGTATTTCTCTGTGTTGTCATATATTCTGTTCCGTGTCTTGGCATAGTTTTTGTCTCTTTTTCATCATGTCGTGAATTTCGTCTATCATCCATTCATTTTTTTCTTCGTTTACAATCTATTGGTATCTATTGCTGCTGTCATTAAAGCTTTTCTGAAAGTGTCCCACTTTTCCTATTTCTTTTTGTCCTTCAAATCTGGTTGTCACACTGTCCATACATTTTTCATACATTTTCGGATCGTTCAAGAGTCAGTCGTATTACATTTTGGGTGCTGCCTTAATCTTTTTCAATTTCTTTAGTTTCACTCTAAGCTCACATATTACTGGAAGTTGATAACTTCCGCATTCGTCGCTTGAATATCTTTTACAGCGTAAAACTGCATTCCTGAATCCCTTATTGATAGTTATATAGTCAATCTCTTTTTTTTATTTCGCTCCTGAGCTTCTTCATAACGATATTCATCTTACGCGTTCTTGAAATCAGGTATTGTCTATTACCTGGTCATTCACCGTCTAACATTGGGCCCATTTTCCTGCGTGTTCATTACGAGTTCCTAGTTCAAATTTGTCAACTATTTCACAATCCCTTACGTTGCCTACTTTGGCATTCAGATCTCCCATGACAATTATAAATTCTTGCGATTTGAAAAGGGCCTTGGCCTTCGTCTAGCGTAGAGTAGAACTTTTCACATTTCTTCTTCCGTAATTTGTGCTGTTGGTGCATACACAACTATGATGGATATGTTGAAAGGCTTTCCTTTCCGTTTAACCACAACAATTCTTTTTGGTAATTGACAGTAACCTAGAACGCATTTCCTCTTGGTCTAGTATCAATCCTACTTCTCTTTCATTTTTATCTCCGCCTGCGTATATGCTCCTGTGTTTGTCAATAACAAAATCTCCATTGTGCGTCCACCGTCTTTCGCATACGCCTCGGTTCCTGTTTTGTATTTTCTGTCCACAGTGGTTTTAATATTCCGTGTCCCGATAATTATATTTTCTTTGATGCGACGTATCTTTAAATTAGCCTTCTTAAAAACTTTCACATCATTTTCAGATTACACTTTTACGTTAGAGCTACTCTTTTTGTTCTGGGTGTAAGGCGGCCGTGTCGTGAAGCAATATGGCATCAGTAAACATAAACTTCCCGTCTCATTCGACGAAGTCTTCCTTCAATTTATTCAGTGTTTCATACACCTCTTATTTAAATATCTGAGCATGCGTTATGAAGTCAATAATCAGTACATATGTTTACAGTCGCCAGCATTTTTGTTTCCAGACTACCGAACTTTGAATTTAGTTGAGCTAGTGACGATAGATGCTTCTAGATCATTGAATCAACCATTGTCTCTGGGTGTAACATGAGTCACTTAAATCACAGCTCGCGAAATTACTCAATACGATTTCAAATTCTGAAAAAAAATGTTTATGCAGTAAAACTTGTCCTTTAGTCTGTTACTTTGGGAACCAAAGTTGGTATGTTATACTTAGAATGTAAAAATACATTACAGCTCTTAACCTCAAGTTAACCCGCTGTTTTGTGAGTAAAATTTGTTGTGTCGTCACATACGCATGTACACAATACAAAGGCAGTTTTAGATATTACAAGAGATGTTGTCACACATATGTAGCTTTTACAATTTTCACTATGTCTGATGTCCATTCAGTTCATACCTTACTTTATGATATCGCTTGTAAAACCATTATATATATATATATATATATATATATATATATATATATATATATAGAGAGAGAGAGAGAGAGAGAGAGAGAGAGAGAGAGAGAGGAATGGTAAGGATAAACAATCTACATACACAATATACATGAATGTACGTATGAAATATTTCTCCTCACGTGTTATAGAGTGCTCAATTTTGTTAAACAGAGCTATAAGTATATATATATATATATATATATATATATATATATATATATATATATATATATATTGATAATATTAGTAGTAAATATACATACATATGCAAAATATATAAATATATATACATACATGCATACACATACATATATATTCTAAAGAAGAACTCAAAATTGATCACTGCATAAATTATTACATTAATATTTAAGCATACTTTTGCAAAAAAAAAAAAAAAAAAAATACTTAAAAATTCAACGAAAACAATCGTAGTAATGAAAACTTGAGAATCCAAAATTTCAGGATTGTGAGTACGGATCCGACCCGGAATATTTTTAATTTGCTCAGAGTCGGTCTAATTCTAAAATGCTATGATATCTTGGGATACAGCCTCTAGGAGTAAAGTTGAAAAAATGTGACACCGTGACACTCGCATTTATTTTAATGGCATATGTATAATAAGATAAAGAAAAAATACGAAACTTTTATCAATCTAACATGTTTCCCTTTTATTAAAGCTTCATCAAAGTATAAAATAAAATCCTTGGGAATCAAAAATCGCACTCTTCGCAATATATATATATATATATATATATATATATATATATATATATATATATATATATATATATATATTTTGCTATGCTTGAAAAAGCATTCACTGTCAAGTTTTGGAGTAAGTATTGAATTGAGAGCATGTGGAGGTCTATACAATCAGCAACGATTTAAAGCAGAATGGAAACTTGGTCTGCAGCTGGTACGCGATCTTCTCGATGCAGATCCTTCTGCTCTATTAGGACACAGTCTAGAAGACATTCAAACTATCCTTGATAAATTCTCTGAAACTGCAAAAGCATTTGGACTCACTATCACCATAAAAAATACTGAGCTAATGTAGCAGCCAGTACCTGGCAATTCATCTCTCACAAATACTTCTGTATTCATTGATGGCAAGGCATTAAAAATTGAGGCGTTCACATATCTTGGAAAAACAGTCTCTGGATAGATAAAACCAATCAAGAATAGCCAAAGTCAGCACTGCATTCAGTAATCTTAAACATAGTTTATGAAACACCAAAGACGTTTCTCTCAGAGTAAAAATCGGTATATACAGATCAGTCGTTCTATCAACCATTCTGTATGATGCTGAAACTTGAACCCTATACCACAAGCACATAAATCAACTTGAGGCCTTTCATATGCGCTGTTTTCGTGCCATATGTGACATAAAATGGGATGACTGAGTCAAGAATAGTGCAATACTGAAGAAATGTAACACCACAGGCATTGAAACCAGTCCAGCAGAGATACAACTTAGGTGGGCTGGTCATGTTGTGATGATGGATGAACATAGGCTTCCAAAAGAGGTACTCTGTGGACAACTACCAAACTCTAAGCGTTCAGTTGGACGTCCACCCTGACGCTACAAAGACAAACTGAAAGACAACTTGAAAGGTTTCAACTTTGATCTGAAAACCTGGGAAGCCCAAGCATCAAATCAAAAGGAGTGGCGTAAGACATGTTTTATGGAGTTAAAGGGTTTTGAAGACAGTAGACTGAGGCAGCATGATCAGCTTTGTCAAGCTCTGAAGCAGAGACGCCATCAAAATCCTGCTTTAACAAATTTCATCTGTCAGAGTGGATTTGAGCCCGCAGCAAAGCTGGACTAGAATCAAACTTAAGAAAGCACAGATGAAATATTTCTTCCCCTTACCTGATTTTTCTTCACAATAGCCCCTGTTAGCATGCATAAGTGCAAAACAAAAGGCACCATCCAATGCTGACTCTCATGTAATTTTTATGTTTGAATTTCTGGGATGAGAAATTTTCATTATTCACATGATTTATAACGTTTCTAATGTCCTCATCTTTGTTGTTATTTTCACACTGTTTTGGCTGTTGTACTCTCGACCTTCTTGTCGATCCGGGTAACCTTTTTGGAATTTTGGGCTCTGAAGTCTTTTTTTTTAATCTACGATGTTAGAATGTTTTCTCATTTTTCTAACCAAGTCACGTCTTCTTAATTAATACTGCTCACGTACTGCTCGCCTTATTCCCATGTCGTCTAAGTCTTTAGACAAAAGATTGAACTCACAATTACTATGGCACCAAATTCACGAACAAATGCTTTATGCCACGGCTATTGTCTCGTGTCAAAGTCAGACAGTGGCAGAACAGGTTTTAGATAAAGTCTACACAGAAAACTAAGATGGGGGGAGGGCAAAAGACAAAATGTTGTGATAACAACAACCAAGATGAAGATATTAGAAAAATGCATTGATGCAAGATGAAGAATATACTGGTATGTTGTAAGGTTTTCCCCCAAATATCTCGTTTGGTCATTTAGTCAGCGTTTAGGAAGTGGGTCACGTTTTAAATTATTTTCAGCACCCCCTAGAATAAATATGTCCGTCCGTAACTTGAAGCAGGTGCGACATTTGCAATAGAGTAAAATTCAGATCACATTAAACCTTTTTTATTTCTGTGTTTTAAGCGACTGTTATCTTTTTCTAGTGAAATTGTTTCTTAGGAATGATAAAAGCTTGAAGCGAATTGGATTGTAAAATTTAAAGTGAGAAGATGAGACGCAGCTGCTGCTGCTGCTGCTGATGTGATAGTGTGGAGGGGAGGCAATTATGAAAGGAGAAAAAAGGGAAAAGAGATGATAGTGGGAGGAGAAGGCATTATTTCAGTGCTGAGACGGCTGCGTAGTCCTGATCAGGACGAGGAACTAAACAGTCCAAAGCAAAACAGATTATGAATCCTGATTATCAAGACAAGTAGATCATGAGATAATAGATAGATAGGTAGATAGATAGATATCACCTACACGCACGAGCGCGGGTCCACGCAAAGACACACACACACACACACACACACACACACACACACACACACACACACACACATATATATATATATATATAGAGAGAGAGAGAGTAAGTGAGAATTACATAAGAAAAACAACAAAAATAATAAGTATTTATACAGACACACACACACAAACAAGGATAGATAGATAGATAGATAGATAGATAGATAGATAGATAGATAGATAGATAGAAAGAAAGAACAATGCAAATCAACATCTTAGGTTTAATGTGCGCTTGTTTTTTTGGTATAATGTGTGCATGTTTTCTATTAGTAGATATTCTTTCATTTTTTGTACTTTATTCAACCATCTTGTGACGTAATAAAACTTATACTAGAGTATTTTCTGTGGTAGAGCTTAAGACTACGACGCATGTTGCGATGAGGTTCAGTGTGGACAGTATAAGCAAAATAGCATGACAAAGAGATACAGACGTATTGTTATTATTATTATTATTATTATTATTATTATTATTATTATTATTATTATTATTATTTCCTTTGATTACTGTTGCATAAAGGTTTCCTTCTTGGTTTCAACCGGTGACCTAAGGTCTGATATGATATTATAACATTTTTACTGAAATAAACTAAATAAATAAAATAACCTAAGATCATACATTTTACATGAAGTTCTTCGTAAGGTGTGAGCAAGACGTTTGAGCCCAATTTTTTGCATTTCTTTAAGGCATGGGTTACCAGGGATTCCTTTAATATGTATATCAAATTAAATCGAGGGCTCCAACCACAAATGGAATTATTGATGTTTTCATGTGCCACATCTTTTCGATTTCGCCTTCAAGATCCTTGTATTTTGAATGGTTGATCCTTTGTATTCTTGAAGATAGTCAAAGATACATTACAATCTGAAGGAACTGCCATGTCAATAAGAAAACACATTCTATTTTTGTTGCCTTTCATCGCTATGTTTGAGCTATTTGCTTTGATTGTTCCGTCTGTGTGTAAAGTCCCATAAAATTATTACAGGTCCTATGTTTGTAACCGGGTCGGGCTGGTGTTCATACCAATTCCATAGAGTTTCATTTCTGTAAAAGTTCCAGATTTTCCAATGACCAACTCTGTCATGCCGTGTGATAAATATTAAAAAAAAAAACAAAAAAAAAAAAACAATTGACTATCAGATTGCACGGTATTAGCATTCACCGATTATCGGTGAATGCTAATACCGTGCAATCTGATAGTCAATTGTTTTTTTTTTTTTTTTTAATATTTATCACAGAATCTGCATTTATCATTATTTTGTTGAATTATTTCACTTTTAGAGAGGTTCCATCATATATCGCCTGAAGAAGATGTGGACAACAGTGTGGACGACGGAAATATATATATATATATATATATATATATATATATATATATGTGTGTGTGTGTGTGTGTGTGTGTGTGTGTGTTTCGTTAATGACGACTGACAATATACTACGATCGAGCTTTTTATTTATTTTTTATTGTGTGTTTGTCGTCTCATGGACATGTAAAAAAAAAAGATTAAAAATAATGGAAGCCCTAATAATGAAAAAGGAAAAACCAACGCGCAATAACATTAACTATGAACACGGCCGCAATGTGCTGTGTTCTGAAAATAAAACATTCCTATGACTTTAGACGCATACATAAAAAAAACACATATTTAGTTAAAATATAAAAAATGAATAAATAAAAATTGCCCTTGATAATTGCTAAAAGAATAGCCGAAAGCGCTCGGATATGCAGAACTTTTGAACGGTTTTTACACACTTTGTGCCCAGAAAAGAACTTGAAAAAAGTAGCTTGTCAATCATCTTTAAAAAAGCATGAATAAAAGGATTGTTGCCTATATATATATATATAGATATATATATATATATATATATATATATATATATATATATATATATATATATGGGCTGTGGCTTGAATAAACGATAAATCACATTGAATAAAGAACTTTCAAAATGATTCGAATCTGTCTATCAAGATTGAGGAAATTCTTTTTTTTTTAATAATCGGGTTTCTTTTGCGCTTTCTTTCTCAAAGAATTACTTTTTATATGTTTATTTGTCAGCTATGTCCACTTCAGGCAACTGTTGTGCTGTCAAAAAAGATGTTTTTATTTATTTATTATTTGGTGTTTGCTTAAAAAACCGTTCTCGATCGCTGAGAAGATTTGAGTCTGAGATAAAAACGTTGTTAGTGTTTCTTGCGTTTATTCCTTGTTCATTTTTGTATGTCAACAAACTGTCTTTGGTAAAAATAGGTCTGCTTCTGTTCGTCACCTTGAAAAAAACCATCAAGTTTTATTTATTTTGTTTGTTTCCAACTCCTTCATGGGCTTATATTCACAAACAGATTTTCATTAGATGTTTCTGTATATTTTCAAGCACTTGCAAGCAGAGATTTTTTGTGTTTATGAAGTTCATGACAGTCGCATAATTTACTCATCGGGAAAATTACGGAGAATGAGATTTTTTGATAGTTTTGCTTTTCTTTGTTATTTTTCTCGTAGATTTTTCTCAGCTTCCTTTTGCTTTCTTTTTTTTTTTTCATCATCTTTTACGGTTTTGCTTGATTATGTTTTTCGTTGGTCACACAAGCAAAAATTCTATCTTTTATTCTTAAGATACTTGCTTTCTTTCTTTCTTTCTTTCTTTCTTTCTTTCTTTCTTTCTTTCTGTCTGTCTTCCCCTTGCTCTCCCTTCTTTCTTTCTTTCTTTCTTTCTTTCTTTCTTTCTTTCTTTCTTAAGAAATTTGATCGCCCTTTTCTTTCTTTTTCTTTCCTCTTCTTTCTTTCTTTCTTTCTTTTTTATTATCTTCTTTTATTTTGTTCTTTCTTTCCTAAGAAATTTGCTCTCCTTTTCTTTCTTATTTTTGAAAATTTTCTTCACTGTTTGTTTTTTCTTTTCTTTTTCCTTGCCCTCCTTTATTTTATACATTCCATCTTTTCATTCTTTTGAGTACATTTTTCAATCCTATATTCTTCTCTTCTTTTCATTACCTTATTATCCTTCCACATATTTCTTTCTTTCTTTCTTTCTTTCTTTCTTTCTTTCTTTCTTTCTTTCTTTCTTTCTCATTGATTTATGTTCTGTTTTTTTTTTCTTTTATGCAGGTATCCATACACACATAGACAGGATTTTTCTTTCAGTCCATAAACCAAACATTTCGATATAAAACCCGGACGTTGCTTGTGCTCTTACTATTATGCTCTCTTCAGAGGGAAAAGACACAGTAACAAAAGAATTTATGACACTTTTTCATTGATATTGTAACAAAAAAATGAAAAGTCAGTGAAATGTTTTTGACCAAGAAATAAGCTCTTTATTTAACTGAATCTGGCGGTGCATAATAAGAAACAGATGACCCTTGCTTTCATCTAAAGAAGGTAGAGACACGGGGGACACAAACGTTCTTTTGACGTGCAGTCACGTGATTTCTATTCACTCTTCCTTTATTATTTGACAGCTGCATCTCAACCTATTGCTCTAATCTCTATGTCTCACACGTAAATGAACTTCTTTTCACTCCTACGCTGATTATGAACGATCATATTTGAGATCAAAAATCAAAGAAATATTTTTGAATGCATTTAGTCACGCTTATTTATACAAGTAATATTTTATTTTGCACTGTACGAAGCTCATTTTGCTAAATATCATCGCTGTTAATGCAACTTTGACAGTACTACAGGTATTTATAACGTTCGATTGGGATCCATTAACGATTTTCCCTAACCCAATACTAACGACCATAGGAGGATGAAATTGCATACATGGAGGCATGCATCTATATATAAGATAGAGTTCAATTTGGAACTTTGTCATAATAAAGAGTTCTGTGTTTCAGGTGTGAATGTCCATTTCCTTATCAACCCACACCTTTACATAAGGGGGCCGGATTCAGTTACTCCAGCGCAGTTTTCGTTATATATCAGAAAAAAGATAATCTTTTCGCTCGACTAATTACACAGGATGAAATGTAGATACATCAATTTAACCCAGAGACTAAATCACAGTCCAAAATAAGAATCATGGTGATGACCCACAATCCGAAAAGCACGTATCCGACACTCTGCTGGTAAGCTGATGTGCTCGGTTAAAAATACTTTGATACTTACTGATTTCCAGGGAAAAGATACCGGAGTAATAATAATTAACATTCGTTAAATTTACAGGAATCCAAAAAAACTCCGTTAAATGATTTATGCTTAACAAAATGTCCGCATATTGCAAAGATAGTGTCGACGAGTCCACAAATCTTGTAGAAATCGAAGTACGATATTAGGGCACTGAAATTCTTTACCATTCTTCGTATTCTCCAGACTTATCACAAACTAATGAACTCCATGAAGTTAGATGACCAGACACTTATTAATCAAGTGCAGTACTAGCGTTAATCCCAACCCTCGGAGTTCTGCAAAGGGATGTCTAAATAAACATTTAAAGATGAGAGAAATGTGAATGAAAGGAATGAGCAGTTTGCAGCCTTTTTGTGTCTAGACGCATTATTGAAAACTCTTTGTAAATTGATGAAAAATGAGTAACTTCGACTTATATCGTAAAAAGCTAAACATCGTTAAAATCAACACCGACAGGAAAGTTGTCACGAAACGGAAGACAATAAATACACACGTATTAAAAACCATAGCAACAGCATCTACAACGTATTACAATGAAATCTGGATTAGATTCAAGCAAAGGATTAACGAAATCCGGAGGATTTTTCGTCTATGTTGTTCTTGGTCAGTAGAGAGGAACAATTTCTTCCAAACTACTCACTAAGCCAGACTGCAATAAGAGATACTTGTCAATCTATCACGATCATTTTCGACAAGCTATTTCGAAGCCACCTGATTCACTTTCCCTAATCCTAACCGTTTCTGAAGACGAATTATTCTGAGGGATCGATTTCTATCCTCATCAATCTCATATTTCAAAGGCATTTGTCAGGCGAAATTTACTCGGCTTTGTCTGATCCAAGGCTACTATATTGGGCCTCTAAATGTAGAATTAATTCATTAATCACGTATCTGATTTGCGAAAAACTGGAAAACCATCTTTCTAAATATATTTATCAAATTCACATTTTATGAGACAGGTTAACAAAAAAGTGACAACTTAGAAATTAAACCAATCTATAACGTTACATATTGGCTTTATGGCCATTAGATTGATCAAGGAAAACTTTTAATTATAATTGATGCTTTTTAGAAAGCAGTAGCAATGTATAATAATGAAGAGATACATTTAGGAAATTCTTCGTAAAATTTTCACGATGAAAGGATTGATATTCGTATGTTTGTCAGTGCGGAAGTTCGGTGTTTTTAAGACATTAATCATTCTACATCATTGTTTGCTCATTCTAACCCGACAACACTGAATGTCTCTACTCTCGATCTTTCTCTACCACGCAGTCTGTTCTTATATTTTTATCTTTATGAGTGTTAATACATATTTTCATATCTATCTATCTATCTATCTATCTATCTATCTATCTATCTATCTATCTATCTATCTATCTATCTATGTTGTTCAGTCCTCATCTATCTATCCATCTCTTTAAGGTGTTCATGTCAATCTATATATCTATCTGGTCATATTTACACTGTGGGGTACTTCATAAAGTCCGGTATTAACGAATTGATATTGGTAAGAGAGAACCTAGTTCAAATTCGAGTTGGATCTATTACATTCAATTACGTGCTAATACTCTTTGGAAAGGCATGATTCAGCTAAAGAAAGGGTCGTTCACATTGGTTCGATGATTCCGACAGTGGTCGATCTGAATGGATGGATGTATCCCCCATATATATATATATATATATATATATATATATATATATATATGAATGAAGAAATATAGTTTTAAAGTGTGTTATATATGTGGGATAAAGTGCTCAATATCAGAGATAGAGCATATGTAAATATAAATATAAAAGTGAACATTGAAGTCAACACTCTGAGGCGACAGGCTTTTTCAAGCTGGACGGAATCGTCAGGCTGCAAATGCTGGATATTTCCTCGGCTATTTATATATATGGGTCAGTGGTGCATTGTGGGTAATCTATTCTGGCAGTTGTTTTGCAGGTTTTCGCTTGTTTATTTATTTATTTGGGTTAATTAATTTTACTTGTTTTTCATTTTCATTTTGTATTATTTATTCTTTTCGTTTGTTGATGTTTTATTAACGTAGTAAAAAAAATGAGGGGATTGCTTAGGTCGCTTATTTAATAGTTTGTTTTGGTCTGGGAAAATAATTAAAGCTATTTATTCGTCCAATGTTTAGATTGCCTGCTGTAGTCTATTCTGGTATTTTGGCGGGGGGCAGTTTTTAATTCATTTGAAAATGAAAAACAAGTAAAATAAATTAACCCAAATAAATAAATAATTAAACAAACAAGCCACTCCCCAAAAATAACCGCCAGAATAGATTACCCACAATGCACTACTGACCTATATGTATAAATAGCCGAGGAAATATCCTGCATTCGCGGCCTGACGATTGCGTCCAGCATGAAACAGCCTGTCGCTTCTGAATGTTCACTTTTTTATATATATATATATATATATATATATATATATATATGTGTGTGTGTGTGTGTGTGTGTATTGAATCAGACCAAGGTAGGGTTATATTAAAAAGTCCTCAACACATGATCCAAAAAATCGAACGTGCAAAGCTATTTTACGCTACTATGGTTTCAACCATTGATGTCCCGTCAGGCGGTAGAGGCTAATTAATTTCCTAAGGCTTTATTGTAATTTCAAAGTTTCTAGTACAGCTGTAACTAATCACCCGGCGAGTGTGATTAAGCACACATCCCTAAAGGCATAGAGTGCAGGCTAGGTTGAAATTGTAGAATCATTTTGGAAGAAAATCAAAGATAGAGTATGAAAATTCGTTAAAAGAGGAGGGACATAAAACAGAAGTGAAATTCAAAACTCAAATGAATCAATAAATGAGGAATGAAAAGAGAAAAAGAAACATTACTTGGTTTAACCATCCATTAATTAATTTAGAGGTGAAATCTAACATAGGAAGGATATTTTTCAAGTTACTTGATAAGTAGTTCCCTAAGAGTTCTGAATTGCACACGATTTTAATAGAAATATAGTAAAATTAAGTTACAGCTGTACTAGCAATTTGGAAACTACAGTAAAAAGACAATCCGCCAGGAATTTTAATGCTAGGTTGCATCAAAGTATAATTGATAGCGAAACGTGTAATTGCATGGATAAAAGTAAATGTCCACTGGATGGAGTGGTTTACAATGTGGAAGTAAAGAATGGAAATGGCTAGAGCAAGATATATGTCGCGTGTACTGAAGGCACCTCCAAAAAGAGATGGTACAATCACAAGTCAACATTCAGAATAGAAAGCCGTAAGAAATATACCAGACTGGCCAGCCATGTGTAGGAATTATAGGAGAATAATAACAAGTCTTAATGTAAGCTGGAGAGTATATTGAGGAGAGCCAGTAAGAGTAGTGTGATGTCTGCAGTTTGTGTCAGGAAGAAAAATTAGCAATAATAACGTATCCAGACACAAAAAAGCTGTTCAATGAAATGTCTGAATTATGTCGGTGTGTAGACACACTAAAAAGTATATTTTGAGTTTATACGAACCCGGATGAAATTACGTACATTTTTTTTTATTCCCCATCCCATCCTATTTCTCCACTCTTGCCTCACCCGACTCTGTCGCACTTCCAGTCGTCAGTCAGTTATGTGGGAATCTTTCAATGACGAGGCAGGTTTTTTTCCCTCTTTAGTTGCCATTTCTTTCTGTGGTGTTGCAGTTGCCATACAAGGCTATAGAACCCGGTCTGTCCTGCTAGTTCCCCATACTTGGGGGTGGGGAGAGAAGAGGATTCATACCTTTTCCAAGGGTATTAGCACGTAAGTGAATGTAATGGATTCGACTGGAATTCGAACTCGGTTCTCCGAATCCTAAATCCGAGCCGCTATCCATTATACCACAGTGCGCATGTAAAATAAGCAAATAAAGTGTTAGGAAATTACTTAGCCTCTACCACCTGACGAGACATCAATAGTTAAAACCATGGTAGCGTAAGTGGTTGACCTTCCTATTTTAATATATATATATATATATATATATATATATATATATATATATATATATATATATATATATATATATTTCCTCTTTCATTTTTAAACATTAAAGCATTTGATTATTGGGTGTTTACTCGCATCATATGCTCATGCGCTCTTTTAACAACCAACATTTTATACATCTTAAAGCTCAGTGAACGCCCAACTAATGAGAACAAGGAACGAATACGTAATTACTATTATTATACATTCGTGTGGAAGATTCACTGGTGAAAGGCGAAAGACGGTTGCCAGTTACCTTGAGGCCATTCGTGCTGCAGACTGCCAAGTAACTAAGGCTTCTTATAAACTGAAGTGCATGAAGTTCGAAGTTTTATATTTCGCAGATAAATTTCTGCTATAAATATTGTCTCTACAACCGCTATGGCTTCAGTGATTAATTCTAAACGTAGATTGCCCTATTCTCAAGTTGTGGTGTGTTGTCGTTGCCTTGCCAATTAATAATTTGAATCTTCGAAAAATTCCACGAAATACATCTGACCTCGTGACCGAGATCCATTTTTCTGAGAGCATATCTGTATTGAACGAACAATTAATTGCTTAAGGACACCTCCTAATGTCTGCCCCAAAAGTAGAGGGATTCAAATACACTTTTTGAATGATGTAGTCATGTGATTTCCTCCTCACTTAGTGCCAGCAGTGTCTTTAGAATATTTGTGTGTCTGGTTGAGTTCAAACGCTCACTATTCACCATTTTAAAGCACATCCTGTATTAATTATAACAATTAAAATAAAAACCTAGTTACTTGCATTATTTACATTATTCGGACTGTTATCCACATCCTCTCTGCTATATTCACAACATTTCGGCCGTTGTACACTCCGGCCTTCTTCAGGTGATTAGAATTTCGAATCGAATCCTTTATTTTGTCCACCGGGATAGATTGATCTAGTTTCACGTGTCATGCCTCTTCCGGACGTGTCAGTTATCTCCCTTTAACTCAATTTTCTAAGTTTTGGTTCACCGCTGTTGTGGCCTGGTGTTGAACTCACAAATTTTTGGAGCTAGTGAGAGTTGAGTTAAAGAGAAATAACTGAGACATCCGGAAGACTACCCCTGTGGACGAAATAAAGGGTTAGGATCAAAATTCCAATCACCTGAAGAAGGCCGGAGCGTACAACGACCGAAAAGTTGTGAATATGGCAATGAAGATGAGGATAACTCTCCGAATAATGTAAATAACGCAAGTAATCATATTGTCCCATATAGACAAAAATCCTGTTGCTAAAAGATCCGCTATTATAGTCTACGAAAAACGTTAGATATTGATTATATGATTCTACTTTTAATCTTTTAATAACCAGCGTCCAATTTTTGAATGGTCGTCAATAACGGGTGAATGATAATGATTCGTACATTATGTAATTCTACAGATGAAGGTTAAAATCTGAAGCTTTGATAAGACACTAAAAGAAATTGTACGCGCGTTACTTTATTTCTCTTCAAAGGTTTTATGTTCAGAATGAATTTCTCATGGTTCCGAGATAAAAAAAAATCTGTGAGATCTATGAGAAGTATTTGTTGTTGTAATAGGATTTACGACAAGATAGACAAAGAAAATGGGAAAATACAAATTTATCTCAAAAATGAATTTGCAAGGCTAGGAAGAATACCAACAGCAGAGCCTGTACGAAACTATTAGAGTTACTGCTGAATTCTCATGCTTTAAGCCCATGGGAACCACCTGGTCCTTTCAGCTCACATGAACTTGGCAGAGCATTGGGACATCCACCAGTACCAGATTAAACTACTTGAGGTTCTAGAGGACGACGTCTTTCCAGTGCCTGTGTGGTCTACCGCAATGTCGTCCTCCGTCTGCAGATGGTGTATCGAACTGATAGATGATTCTGGTAGAGTGGTCATCAAGTCGTCGCAGGACGTGACCGAGCCAACGAATACGGCGCTGAGCCATGGTGCAGATGATTTTAGGCTGGCTGGTCTACCGGCGGAACTCCTCATTGGACACGAGAAACTATTAATACTGAATTGAACTTCCTTTTTGAAATCTTTACTTCAGAAGCATTCGCACACACACACACAGGCACACGTACACTCTCTCTCTCTCTCTTTCTATTTTTCTCTCTCAGACAGAGACACACGAACGCACGTCTGCTCACACGCGAGTCATGTGTCAAAAATAACGTTTTTCTTCAGTATACAATATATTTCTAATTAGAGACACAATACAATACATACAATAGTACAACGAACAACGAAAAACTCGGTATTTCAAATTTGTATCTCCAAATAGTCGATTTCCTTCTCAATCCACCTTTGAATCAACCATGCTTACCCGCTTCAAAAAAGGTTCTCTGCCGCTTTGGTAGCCTCATAGCATTTTGATTCTTTTATCCCATCACTATCGAAGAACGGTTGTCCTCTGAGTGCTTTCTTTATAAGTGGAAAGCGATGAAAGATGTCATGCCAGCTGTGAAACGTATAAGGGGAAAACTTTTCTAACCATATGCCGTGATTGATTGTCTATATTGAATAAAGCAGCTATGATACCTTGCATTGTAAAAGCCGATCAATTATCTTCTAGTGTTGCCTAGATCGAAGAAACCTCACTAATGTACAAGTACTACCACTGGGTATAGTGTTTTAACTGTATGACGCATTTGGTTCCAAATACAGTAGCCATAATTTTTTATGCAGTGCGTGTTGCCTTAAATTAATTCTTTCTGGGTGAGTTTGGGTGACGCCTTTCCATATATGTCATTCATCTGTTATTTGCATTCAGTTTCTTTGATCATATCCTTATTCATAACAGCGGCTGGCCTGCCACTGCAGAGCCTATCGTTAGGCTTACAAGAATCGTGTGCTTTCTATGTGTGTCTAGAATGGCAGTCAACATTTTAAAATTTAATTAGAACTGGCATTATTTTGACTATTTTTTTATGTATTCACTGATTTAGAACCGTGGTTCCGCTTCAAATAACTAATTGTAAATTGAAAACTTCCTATGGGGAGTTGTAGTGACATTTAAGATCGGTGCCCTAAAATTCTTTCGTTTTTTTTTTTCGTTGTCACAAAGCAAAAATGCAATGAAAATTTTAATAGGAAATACCATGCGACAACATCCTACATGCTATATACTAAATAAAATCTGGCACATGGCAAGTATTTTAGGTAATTAAGTGAGCATTTGATCTGTTAATGTCAGATGCTAAAATGCCTCATCTGCGAAGCTCTCATTTTGATTGCTATATGACTGAGAACAAATATCATAAGACTTTATGCTGTAAGCGTAAAAAGTCACTATTTCCCACGAATAACCCCTACTCCTTATATGCCCTCATCTAAATTCAGCTAAAAATATCGGATATACAGACTGCCTTTTGCCGTGTTTACGTGAATTAATTAATTTCCCTGGCACTGAATGAATACAAGTGTGAATGTTGATCCTTCTAGAAGCTGAAATAGTTTTGCATTTGTTTTGTTTTTAGTGAAGAGTGCTAAGTTTCTCCAATATCTAAAATGGAACATCGAGATTTTTGTGCACAAGGAAAAGACAAAGAATATTTGATCAATTTCGAGAATGATCAGTGACGAGACCACTGATAAATAATTTGTTTGGGAACAATTTTTTTTCTTGTTCTCTTTTGTTATTGTGAAGGCGATCAGTTGCATGTGAAGGTTTCTGACCTGGAAGCTAAAGTAGTTACTTCAAGTTCACTCACATCTGCTTAAAAAAAACAAAAAAAAACTCTACGATATTTCTTGATATAATAGATTCACTAGTTAAGTACGAAGGAGAGAGAGAGAGAGAGTGGTCGATGGGTGGGGACAGTTTGAGAGGACTTAGAAATCTGTATTATTAAGTGTAGGTCAAATTGAAAGAAATTTGTTCTGAATATCATATTTTTATATAAATGATGACAAACATGAAGATGTCTAAGCAAATGAAAAGCAGTGCAGCACCCGTTTCATTAAAGGCGGTTGATAGTGATTTAGAGAATTCTCGCTTCCTGAAAGTTGCGCGGTCGTTTGTTGATATAGTTCGCAAATAGCTGGATGCCGCTGACAGATACTCTACAACAGTCTTCTTTTCATTGCCGTGTTCCTTCATGAAGTAGGCGATCATGACCCTCCACATCTTCCTGTCTCTTGTAGCACCTAATAGGCTTTGTGTTTTTGTTATTTCTCACAAACCCTTTTCTACCATTCATTTGTTCAAACCCATCAAATATGTTAGGCGCTTCTTTTTCCCTCTTTCCCTCAATCTGTTATGTGAATATCAGTTTTTTTCAAGCACTCCTTCCCCATTATGTTCCTCAAAAATTTTAACCTGATGTTAAATAGAACTTTCCTTTTTAATTCCATTATCTCCAAAACCACGTCTTTGCTCACATGTCCATGGTATCCTGGGCATCTATCATAGACTTTATTTACAGTAATAACCCGACGTAAAACGACTGCTAAGGGTCATAATACCATAAGAACACTCAAATTTGTACGAATGGTGCTGAAAATTATCAAAAAGAATCTCAGAAAGTCAACTAATGCAATTGCTAAGGAGCTCAAGTTTCAAGGTACTCTATCGGAAGAATGGTGCATGAGAATCTTGGATACAAGTCATACCGTAATTTCTCATGTATAATACACCTTTATCCGTAATACGCACCCTAAAATTGGGCTGAAAATGTGGGAAAATGTTTCTACTTAGACATATTATGCCCTCCTTGTTTGGTAATCAAACCCTATACATTTTACCTCTCCAATTTTATTACGGCCAGAGTTTCCTACTCTTGTTAACAAAATGGTTTTGAACATAAAATAATATTATTTTAATCTAGTTTTATGATAATTCTTATTTTACATTTGTAAGTATTGTTAGGTACATATGATTGTATTTGATATCCTTATAAGGTCGTAATCGCCGAATGTTGGTATCAAATTGTCGTATGTTAGTGGTGAGTAGTCATTTCGCAACTGAAATCGAATTTTTTCTAGCTGTGCATAATACTCACCCATAATTTTGCTTATTATTTTTTAGAAAAAATGCGCATTACACATGGGGAATTACGGTATATGATGAAGAGAGGCCAATTCATGTCTGCAATGACAAAAGATAACCATCTGATCCGCACAAAGAACTTTTTGAGCAAGTTGAAACATCAAGAGACTGGAATATGTTTTTTTTTTCTCTGATGAGAACAACTTTGATCAGGAGCAAAAGGTCAACCGATCGAATGATAAATGATTACTACTGAACTACTAAGCATGGTCTGTGGACGAAAGGGAAGTCAATGAACGCCCCGATAATAGTATAAATCTCTGAAGTCCACCATAACTAGCACAATGTACCCAAAATGCGTAAAGATCATCTGATTCGAGTAAGTCAACGTTTCAGGCCTCGTATTGAAACAGTTGTCAATCCTAAAGGCAGATTCGTTAAGTAGCTGCATCAAGAAGAGCCTGAAGATTATTCATGTCAATTCTCTCTTAAATAAAGCTCTTCACATGCGTCTTTTACTAAATATATACAAATGTCCTCAAAGAAATTGTTCAATGAAGCTTATATGTAATGCCATTTTTTATTTGATAGATTGAAGTGATTTTAGTGAAAGATTTTAAGCATATCTTGCTAGCCAATGATCCGTAACAATTTTGTTGTCAAAGAGGCAAAACCTTCTAAGACATATATCTAATCTAATTTTATACTTTAACATAAAAATCTGGCGATGAGAGAACGCCGTTTATTCGTGATGTCTTCTTCACCTGTATGCTGTCTCACGCTGGCCAGGATCTGGAGCAGGGAGTCTACATTCACTAACCTTTGAACAGCTCCCTCTTCGACCCTCGTCGTCTCACTGCCAAGACAAAGAGCCTGCAAGATCTCCTCCAGGAAGACCTCTTTGCTGATGACTGTGCACTAGTGGCCCATGATCTCCAGCTGATACTGGACCGTTTCTCTGACGCCTGTAAGCTCTTCGGCCTGACAATCAGTCACGGCAAGACTGAGGTGCTTCATCAGCCCACACCAAACAGAAACACCTCAGCATCGACCATCATCATCAGTGACATACAGCTTGCCAATGGTAAGCATTCCAAATACCTGAGAAGTACCATCTCTCGTGACGGCTCCTTTGACAAAACAATTGACGCTAGAATCAGCAAATCAAATCAGGCATTAGGAAGACGTCGCGACAGAGTGCTCAGTCAACACAACATTCGGTTGACTACAAAGCTAAGAGTGCAGTGGTTTTGCCCTCCCTTCTATATGGTTGTGAGTCTTGGACACAGCAGACACACCAAAAAGCTGGAGAACTTCCACATGCGAGCACTCCGTTCCATACTCAGAATTCGTTGGCAGGACCGCGTTACCAACACTGAGGTCCTGGAACGTGCTCATTCCACAAGAATTGAGTCCATGCTCATTGAGGCCCAACTCCAATGAGCGGGGCATGTCCTCCGCAATGTGGAGCACCGCTTGCCAAGGCGACTGCTGTACGGAGAGCCTCTGCACGGCAAAAGAAAGCAAGGCCGTCCAAAAAAACGGTACAAAGACACTGTGAAAGCAAATCTCCAGGGGTGCAAGCTTGAAGTCAAAGAACTAGAGGAGCTCGCCAGTGATCGGCCACGTTGGCGAATCACAATTCAAGATGCTACTGTCACCTTTGAGGATGCTCGTCGCCAGAAGCTCACCGCTGCCAGAGATCAATGCCACAGTGATTGTAACAACAGACTTTCAGTGCTGGTCCACTGTTCCAGACTCTGCGCTTCCAGCTCGGGGTTGCGGAGCCACCTCCGAGTTCACAGATGAGAGGCAGATACAACACGTTATTTTCAGATTCGAAGGACAACCGATATTAAAAGAAACTAATTTATTTTAATTTTAATAAAATATATAACGACATCTAAAGAATACAATTATGTATTATTAATTAACATTTTAACCGAAAGAGTTGCATAAGTATGCTAATGGTCAGTATTTGGGTCTAAGTAATATCTAGAAAATAAGTTGCTGTTTTTCAAGGCTGGTAAGCTTCGTTTTCTTTGAAAATGGATGCAACACAATATTTTCAATTGCCTCGTGCCAGACTCAAGTATGCTTCACCAATGAATGAATCAAATTTCTATAAGCATTTTATGAATTTACAGTGAATTCCTTTCTATACAAACGCTCCAGATTTTTCTCTTCTCCCGTGTATAATAAATTCTATCTTAATCCAAGGCAGATAATAATAGAAAAGACAGGCAATGTTTTCTTCGTTGTCAGGGTGAGATTGCATAATTACTCGCGAGTCAGATTGAATCATCCTCAAATTATCAACGGTTAAATGCGTGGAGCGCCATCGATACTTGGAAATCCAGTCACTGCTATCATGAACCTATTTTCATATAAAGCCATATTTCGGAAAAGTCAAAAGAAAACCAACTTAATGTAAACTTCTTGTGAAACTTGCAAATAAACTGCTAAAGAATAATAAGACTGAATATCAAATACAGCCTTAGTATTATTATTGAACAAGGACAAGAAAACCTGCACAATGTCGGATATGACTGTATTAACGAAATATAAAGTGAAAAAGAAAGAAACAGTAAAATGTCAGTACTTCACTTGGGAGCAGATAAAACTATGGAAAATGAAACAGAAAATTGTATCAATATATATTGAAGTTAGAACCATGTCAAGAATAGGTGAATCGTGATGATATGAGCAATAAAATTAGAAAAAGACTTATGACAGTCAAGACCCCAGTGTTTCAGGCTCTGAGAGAATACTGAAGACGTTGGTAAAATTTCAGAAGATATTCTGTCTATCAATCTCTAACTATAAAATAATAAATATTAGATGCGAACATGCAAACGCATGAAATATGAATAATACAATATATTCTATTCTATTGGCAAGACTATTTGATTCACGGTGTATTTAGTGGAAGATTGCATTTCGCGAATTTGTTTTGGGTTTTTTCTTTTTTGTTATTAGCTCCCTTTTCATTGAATTGGGTGTGGCTTCAGGCTGTTTGTGTTGGAGACTTAGGTTAGGGTAAGATCGGCTTGGCGCCAACAACAAAGGAAAATCCGGATGTACAAGAGGTTGAATGTTCATGCCTGTTTGTATCGCTAGTCACGCTTGAGTTGTTCGATTGTTGGCGCCGAAAATATGCCCCGTGTTCGAAACTGATAATCAAATGAGAAAGACAAAAAAAAAACTTCATTAATAGATGATGTGTAAAATCAGTCATCACTGTGTTCACGCGCGCACATACACACGCACATACACACACACACACATATTGAGTGTATTTAGGCAGCAAGTTTTCTTTAAGGCAAATGTTATTAAAGAAAACAGACAATTTGTGTCGATTAATTTTATTGATCGACTTTTCGAAATTAAGTATAATCCTTTTCAGATAAGTAGAAAATTCCGTCAGAAATTGTTCAAAGTTCATTTCAGAAGAAATATGCTCCGAGCTTTCGACTTTCTTATTTCATTATCAGGGTAAGTAGAGACAAATAGTGGCACTCTGGTCCGATTGGTCGCATGTGAGTCTCCGTGAGAGTATGGTTGGGATGTGTCCTATGTAAGATGTTTGTATATTTTATTTATATAGAAACATTCTCCGAATGGGCAAGCATACTCATGCACAATATTAGTCTTGTATAGAGGTTGGAAGTTTGAGATATATTATTCGTAATAACTAGGTTGATAGTTTTTAATTTGTTGTAGTAAATAATTAATCTCGTGTCATTTTTTTCGACTGGTTTTATATGTCTATGTATGATGTTTATTATTATTATTATTATTATTTTGTCTTTGTAGTAATTGTGGTGTATTTGATTTTGTTAACTTTATTCCCAATATTATGTTTATGATTATGGTCATTGTTAAAATTGTTGTTTAAATAGAATTTGATTTGTTTGTTGACAATATAATTAGGGGACCCATAATTGATAAGCATTAGTTTTATATTACTTTGATGATAATTTTAAAAAATCGAAATTTTGGACCCTATTTCTTCCAAAATGACTTTTATATAATTTCTGACGGAATTTTCACCTTATCTGAGAGTGATTACTCATTCGTAATCTTGAAAGGTCGATCAATATAATTAATCGACACAGAACGTCTGTCGTCTTTGCTATATATATATATATATATATATATATATATTGTGTGTTTAGGTAGCAATCCTCCATTTATACATTTTATTATTTTATTATTATTTTTGCGTTTTTAATTGTTAAACCCAGTTAAAATTCAAAATAAATTCATCATTGATGATGGAGAAAAGTAAAGTCGAAAGTATCGAAATTACAGAATATCTGCACATATTTTACACACTCTGTGTCCATGAAAGAAAACACTTCTTTGAACACAAGAAAAATTAAATTAAAAGCTTGATCGGTGTACTTTGTCTGACGTCTTTAGTCACACACACACACACACACACACACACACACACACACACACACACACACACATGGCTCCTTACCTAGATCGACAGAATGAACTCTTCCTAACGTTATGTATACTACGCCTTTCAAGAGAGACGGGCGGTATTGAATCGAGTCGAGCTGATAGTAGTTCACTTCAAACCAGTCTGACAGTCATACTAACACCTTCCACTTCGTGTAATATATTCTTTGTTATTTCTACTCTTGTGTTTCGTGTTGTTCTTCCATGGACCTAACCTTGGACCATAACAGTGGCGACGAGGCTACTGAAGAAACGAATTCTACGCGGAAGATATAAAAAAATCCCTTTTTGCTATCGGTCGCCCATAACAGTGGCGACGGGGATATTGAGAAAAAAAAACAAGTTCTACGCAGAGGATATTGAAAAAAAATCTTTTTTGCAATCGGTCGTCCATAACAGAGGCGACGGAGATAAAACAAAAAAAAACAAAAAAACAAGTTCTACGCGAAGATAAGGTAAAAACTTTTTGGACACCAACCATAACAGTGATAACGAAGACACGAAATTGTACCTGTCAGCCAGAATAGAATCGAATTCTACGCAGGATAATTTTTCGCACCAAGGTTCCAGAATGAACAGACGACAAAGACCTGAAGTCTACACTGAGAAAAAAGGAAAAATCGTTACACCAGTACACAACTCTAGCTACAAAGTACATATTGCGAAAAGAAAAAGTAAGGGGAAAAGGTGAGTTTTTTTCTCTCCTCTTCTCGTGACAACAGATAGCCTGTGTTATTATAAAATTACGGTGTAAACATGGAAGATTTTAAGGCAACCATATTGGAACTAATGAAAATGCAATACGAACAGCAACAAAAAAATGAGGAAAGACAGACTAGTCTCGATGAAAAACTATTAGAAATTCAACAGAAAAACGAAGAAAAGCAACTCGAACTACAAGAATTAGTACTACGGGCAGTAACAAATAAAGGACAAAACTCTGAAAATGAAGCGGCATTCTCGCAAAATGCTATATGGAGCTCAATCAAAGACTTCACTTATGCACCGGACGAAGACAAAACCTTCGCGGCTTACTTGAGAAGATATGAAGATTCATATGAGTTTGATTGCGGGAATTGGTCAAACGCGAAAAAAGTACGTCTATTACTGAGGAAACTAGGGTCAAGCGAATACACTAAATTCGTAGACTACATCCTAACGAGGAAAACGAATGAGTTGATTTTCAGGGAAGCCGTGAAACTTTTAACGGAATTATTTAGTTCGAACACTTCAATATTCCACAAAAGGTGGAAATGTTTAAATTTAACAAAAATGATTGCGAAGACTATATAACATTCGCTTCCGTAGTAAACAAACACTGCGATGACTTATCTGAACTCAGTTCTGACAATTTTCAAAGTTTGATATTCGTCCAAGGCCTGGTTTCGACTAAAGATGAAGAGATCAGACGGAGAATTCTAACAAAACTTGAGAGTGAACTAGAATTGACGCTACAAAAATTGGTTGAGGACTCTCAGAGATGTATAAACGTAAAAAAGGATTCGAAAGATATCGAAGAATCTGGCGTAGCACACGTACGAAAAATACAACGACAAACACGTTTTTCCCGCCTCAAAAACAAACCAAACCAATTATTTTACTACAAAAGTCAAATGAAACCTCAGAAGAAACCACCACCCAGTCCATGCTATCGCTGTGGGATTTTGCACTGGTATAAAGACTGTCCATGCCGCTATAAGACTTATCTGTCGTGCAATAAAGTGGGACATAAAAGTTCGCAATGTAGAACGAAGAAAGAAAACAAAAGCCGAGTAAGAGTTACTAGAACTGATCAAGCGGACGGGATAAATATACGAAAATACGTACAAGTAGAAATGTTTAAAAAAAAACAGATTACAATAAGATTCCGGATCAGATTTAACTATTATTAGCTTACAGACGTGGAAGAAATTAAACAAACCGACCATGTTGAGAACAGATAAAATCGCCAGGTCGGTAACAGGAAAAAAAATCAAATTTGAGGGCGAGATTATCACAAATGTGACTTCAACTGAATGACCAAAAGATGTATGTTCTAAAAAATACGGAAAATTCATTTGGAACTGACTGGATGCAGAAATTTGACCTCTGGGATTTAACCATAAATGCGTTCTGCCAAAAAGTGGAAAGATTATCGACCGAGGCAGAGAAATTGAAAGAGAAATTAAAGGAGAGACGTATTTTCCTCCGGCCTCGAGAGGTGTATTAAAATGGCGGCAAAAATCGAACTAAAAGAAAATATACAAACGATTTTCAAGAAGAAAAGAAATGTACCTTTTGCATCATTGGAAAAGATAGACGAAGAGTTGCATAGACTCGTGAAAACCGGTATATTGACAAAGGTGGAATATAGTCAATGGGCCACAGCTACGGTTTACGTGAAAAAGAAATCGGGTGAGATACGAGTATGCGCTGATTTCTCGACGGGATTGAATGCAGCGATTAAGGATTATCGCTATCCTCTCCCTAGTCCAGAGGAAGTTTTCACAAAGTTGAACGGAGAATTTTTCTCAAAAATAGACTTGAGCGAAGCATACCTACAAGTACCAGTAGATGAGGAAAGCTCGAGGTTGTTGTGCAATAAACACTCATAAAGGATTATATCAGTTCCAGAGATTACCATTCGGGATCAAAGTCGCGCCGGCGATATTTCAGCAAATAATGAACACTATGCTAGGCGGACTGGATTTCACGATCGCATACCTTGATGACATCCTGATGAATAGCAAAAATATTGAACAACACTGGGAACACGTTCAAGAGGTTTTCAGACAGATACAAAATTACGGTTTTAAGGTAAAAGAAAATAAATGTGACTTCTTTATGAAGGACATAAAATATCTAGGCCATATTATTGACGAAGAAGGAAGACCAGACCCGGAAAGAGCCACGGCAATAAAAAAAATGCCGACTCCAAAAAATTTAGCCGAGTTACAAAGCTTCTTGGGCTGAGTAAATTATTATCAAGAATTTATTCCTAACATGCACAAATTACGCGCACCCCTAAACGAACCGTTGAAGAAGGAAAAAGTTTGGGAATGGTCATATGAATGTCAGAAAACTTTCGACAAAATCATTAAGATTCTAACAGCAGATTTATTTTTAGCACATTATGATCCTAAATTAAAAATAATAGTTGCGAGTGACGCGAGTGCTTATGGTGTTGGGGCATGTATGCTACATAAAATGCCGGATGGGACACTAGAACCCATCGCGCATGCGTCAAGAACTTTACTACCAGCCGAACAAAATTACTCGCAAATCGAAAAAGAAGCGCTGGGGATTATTTTTGCGATTACAAGATTCCACAGATATATTTACGGTAGATTTTTCACCTTGCAGACGGACCACAAGCCGTTACTAACAATATTTGGATCAAAGAAAGGTCTACCTGTCTACACTGCTAATAGATTACTAAGATGGGGGATGATTTTATTAAATTATAATTTCAAATTGGAGTATCTTCCATCAAACAAAATCGAGCATGCAGACGGTCTTTCGAGACTAATACCAAAGAAAACGGATCCATTAGAAGATTCCGTAATTGCAGCCCTACGATATGAGGAAGATATTAGAACATCATTATGTAGTACAATTCGAAACCTCCCCGTCACATTACAGGAAATAAGAAACGAAGCAGTGAATGACGAATTTATAAAGGAAACAAAAACAAAAATCGCAGGAAAAGATAAGCATATATCAGACAGTTTTTCGTTATGTGATAATGTTCTGCTATATAATGAAAGAGTAGTAACCCCGAAAACGCTACAAAGGCGAATCCACAAGGATTTCCACATGGACCATACAGGAAAGAACAGGATGAAATCCTTAATGCGAAGTTACGTGTACTGGCAAAACATGGATCAAGATATTATACATATGGTGGACAAATGCAAGGACTGTTCCTTAGCAGCCAAGGCACCTCCGATCACTCATAAGTCATGGTCTAAGACAGATCGACCGTGGTCGAGAATCCATATAGATTTCACCGGTCCATTAGAGGGTTTCTACTACTTGATTGTAGTAGACAGTTACAGCAAATGGCCAGAAGTATTTCGTTGTAGAAAACCTAATTCTGAGATGACAATAAATTGCCTTCACGAGCTGTTTGCTCGTTTCGGAGTGGTTGATTGTTTAGTCACTGATAATGGGACACAATTCACATCTGCGGATTTTCAAGAGTTTTGTGAAACTTTTCAGGTGAAACACATCAAATCTCCGCCATATCACCCAAGGTCGAACGGGCAAGCGGAGAGGTTTGTAGATACATTAAAAAGAGCAATAAGGAAAGCTTATGACGTACCAACAGAAAAGGCTTTACAACAATTCTTGCAAGTGTATAGAATTACACCGAGCAGTACTACGCCATCGGCATTATCACCGGCGGAAGTAATGTTCGATCGAAAAATTAAATTGGTATTCGACAAATTACTGCCAAAACAGACAAAGCAATCACCAACGTCGTTTGTACCAAAAAGAAAATTTAGCCCAGGGAAGAAAGTTTTTTTTTTTAAATGTTCAAAAACAGCACATCCTATTCGGAGCCAGGTACAATAGAGAAACGAATTAGGAACGTGATTTACATAATTCAGGGTCCGAAGTTCTCGCATAAAAGACACTTAAATCATATCAGAAAGAGGCTGTTAGAGGATTCTAACAGTCTACCTCAGGAAGAGGAGGAAATAATGGACACAATATTTGACACCTTCAATATGCAAAGGCCTCAAGCAATTTCAGAACCGCAGAAATCAAGCAGTAAAAGAAAATTTACAGAGCATTTGATGATTAATCCGAAGAGGAAAAAATATTAAAGACCTCTGTGAGGTAAAAACTTGGGAGGGGGTGTCATGGGTCCTTACCTAGATCGACAGAATGAACTCTTCCTAACGCTATGTATACTACGCCTCTCAAGAGAGACGGACGGTATTGAATCGAGTCGAGCTGATAATAGTTCACTCCAAACCAGTCTGACAGTCATACTAACACTTTCCACTTCTTGTATTATTTTTCGTGTAATATATTCTTTGTTATTTCTACTCTTCTGTTTCGTGTTGTTCTTCCATGGACCTAACTTTGGACCATAACAGTGGCGACGAGGATAGTGAAGAAACGAATTCTACGCGGAAGATGTAAAAAAGAAAAAAAAACTTTTTTGCTATCGGTCACCCATAAATGTTAACTTGTGACGCGTTTCATCCGTTAGATTTCTCAACGTTGTTATCACTACATATACGCATGAACAAGAGATGGTAGTTTCAACATTTTTGATTGAAAGAATTTCTAACAAAATTCATCTATATTATTTTTCTTTTTCTTTCCATCATCTTTGTTTTAAAATATCACACATTGCGATTAGTTTTTCGTCCTTAGTTATAATAAAAAATAATAAAGCGTGCAAAAATTAATTCATCCACAAAGCAGATTTTCTACAGTGAACTAAAAAATATCAAACAAATTCTTATTAATAATAACTTCTCTAATTATATTGTCAACGCACAAATATGTTCTATTAGAAATTTTAATAGAAAGCAAATAGATTATAATACTTCTTCAACTAACCCCAAACGTATTAACCTTTTATATCGCAACCAAATACATTCTAATTATAAACAAAACGAAAATATCCTAACAAATAATAAATACTAACATTTACAGCACAGAACCTCCTAAAAAAATAAAATTAATTATATACTACACTAAATCTTGTTTATCAATCATTCGTAACGACTCTTCCCCTCTTACTTAACGTGTTCCATCATTGTTAATAAATTTAAATGTCCTCTGTGAGATTATATCTCCAACAAAAAAATAATGTTTATGTTGGACATACTACGACTACGTTGTCTCGGCGACTGAGTTGTCATTTGAATGATATATCCAATATTTCTAAACATTTGCAACAACATATCCAGCCATATTCGCAATTCGGATAAACATAAGCTAAAAAATCTCGAAGCTATCTATATTCAAAAATTAAAAACAAACCTTAATAAAATTAATTATGCATACTGCACAAATGTTTTAAAATATGTACAGCTGATAATTTAAAATATCATTGTTTGCACTAATAATAGGCACATCATACTTAGTTACTTCCCATGTCAAGCAATCACGTCAAGTGATCTCGTACTCACTTCACAAATAAAAATTGTATTTTCAGATGAACACAACAATTTTGTCTTTGAAAGTGATGAATACTACAAAATTTGTTTTCAAATAAATAACACCCTGACGATGACACTGTGCCATATCGAAAGTACTCGGAATAAAATAATCTTTTCTCTCCCCTTAATGATGACACTAAAAAGCTTGTCCGTGAATATAAAAGTATCCATTTGAAAATAAGTAGGTAAGTTTTGTCTAAATTATTCAATGAAACATGTCTCAATGAAAACATGCTGCTAAAATATACGCAATATATATATATATATATATATATATATATATATATATATATATATATATATATATGCACCTGTGAACGTGTAAATATACGGAGAGATTGCAAGATACGCATACGAAATTTAATTATTCCCATTAGCGTAACTATGTTTCCTATAGGTACCAATTTAGTGAGATTAAAATATGTTGATATCTGACAGAATCTATCTATCTATCTATCTATCTATCTATCTATCTATCTATCTATCTATCTATATCATTCTGATTATCTATCTATCTATTTATCTCATTCTATCTATCTCATTCTATCTATTTATCTCATTATATGTATCTATCTATCTATCTATCTATCTATCTATCTCACTCTATCTATCTATCTATCTATCTATCTATCTATCTTAGTCTGTCCAAATTAAAATTTCTTGCAGCAGCAATTAATACAATTTTTCCACTTTTCAACCTGAATCTTGCTCGCTCCGAGTACGAATCAAGTAATGAAAATTTCACTGTCACACAAAGAATTCCATTGCAAAGTGACTAATGGCACAATACCAAATAAAATCACCAATTGTGGAAGCGAAAATGGCTTCTTTTTCCTTTTCTTTCGCGCTCATACAAATATTTCTTAACACACCGAGTACACATGCGCGCGCACACACACTCACACACACACACACACACACACACACACACTACATGCGGAACACACAGACGTATAAACAGTGAGAGCAAAACTTAAAATAAGGCTGTGGAGAGTTTTCTCACAATTCATGGCGCATGCCATTCTAATTCTTGGATAGCCGTTCATCGTTCACTAGAAAATGATTTCATTGAAAAGTCAATGGAAGGAAAGACAGAGATGACATACAAAAAGATAAATGAAACAAAAAATGGTTAAGGGAGAAAGAAAGAAAGTGAAGACAAAGTGTTGCAAAAGAAAAAAAGAAACAATTTAAGTCTTAAAGTGTTTGGAAATAAGAAAGAAAGAAACAAACAAACAAATAAACAAACAAACAAACAAAGACAGAAAGAGTGCATCAGGAGAAGAAAGAAAGAAAAAAGAAAGAAAGAAAGAATTTTTCAGAAGAAAAAACAATCAAAAGAGATCGAGTGATGATTGAAGAAAATCATTCAAATGTACGCGATAGATCTAAGCATTTCAACGCATCATATTAACAATCTCTGCCCAATCCTCTTTTCTTTTAAAGAATAAACTTTTTTTTTACATGTACAATATCATCCTTACCCTATCGTAACTGTCTTTTCATTTTCCACTCTTTAATTACTGCAAATAATATTCATGAGAAAATTGCAAAGCTGAATGCCATTGTCTTCATTAATAACTCAAATCAATAGCTTTACCCGTTTTCATTATTAATTATAATTACAATTATAAATGTTCTTCATCGTAGTGGCTAACGAGCAACTCGGATCGATCATTAATACTATTTTTAAAGTCGATCCTCACTAGATGCCCTGCCCCTGTGGCCATGATCTTGTCCAAGTTCAGCTTATTAATACCTTTATATTTATGTTCTTATTGAATTTTGAAACCGTTTTGACCTTGTGCCAGACTTATTAAATGCCCCCTATACAATTAATAACAAGCAGTGACAACAATACACAGTCGGTCCTTCGCGATCATCTTCACTATGGCGTTAAATGAAATTGTTGCCAATCCTTTTCTTTACTTTAATTGACTGCATTTTGAACATGTCTGAGTGAAGAACGAAACACACCAAACCCTCTGGGATCTTGAGATTCAAACGCGCCCAATCAATATCAAAAGTCGTCAAGAGCAAAAAGGCTCGGTAAGTGGATTTCCCTCTTCCGAAAGGACATAGACTAAGCATATCGAACTTTCCAGAGAATTAAATAAGTTATTGAACATAATTGTCGTTCCAGTAGTTATGGGAGTGCTGGAAATGATCCTGAAGAGTCTACGAAAATTCTGGAGGAACTAGATATTAATAAGGGCAGAGTTGGAATTATTAAGAAAAACATTTTGATCTGAGAAGATTTCCTGTCATTTTAGTTTCTCTGCAGGTCACCGGATACCAATGATGAAAACATTATGTAAATAAAATAATAATAATATTTTTTTTTCTTTACAAGACAAGCAACGTTTGAATAAGGATTTATAATTTTGGTAGATTTATATATTTTTATACTTGAAAATTAAAAAAAAATATAATTTAAAGAGAAACATTCTGACATTCTGTCAAAATATTGCTTAACATTGTGAAACACTGTATTTTCTTTTCGTAAATTTCGCGGTCTAACAACAAAAACAAAAACAACAACAACTGCAATAATAATAATAATAATAATAATAATAATAATAATAATAATAATAATAATAATCTCACGTCAAGTGTCCCATAACCGCCATAGCAGTAGTGGCGTGTCTAGAGTAAGGGAGACTGATAGAGTACATGCCTTTTTAGGCTAGCTCTTGAATTTCAAATTTTCCTTTTCCAGAAATGTTTGACACTTCAACGTCTGGCTACTTAACCGACATATTCGGGGTAAGAAGAAATCGATCCCTACATTTTCCATTTGGGTGAAAGTGAACGCGTAACGAACCAAAGCTCGAACTCTGCCCGCCGATTTCACATTTAGAATCACACAACGGGCATATCCGATTATCATTATTATTATTATTATTATTATTTTTAGAATTCCCATATAGACAGTGAAATCACGGTACAGGCAATAGCAATTTGAGAGCACGGTAAACCGGGTATAGTCTTGCTGGAGAAATAGAAAAAGATTTGCGACTTGACAGAAGTCTCCTGTCCATTTGGTATGAAAATTGAAAGCAAAGAAAATAAGATTGCCAACTACAGTGATTTAAAATATGACATTCTGAAAGTTTGGCAATGACGACAAAAGAAAGTAATTATAGGACCACGTGACCATTGGAGGATTTGGGTGTTGTGCAAAAAAATTAAAAAAAAGACATGGAAAAACCGTGAATAGTTTGGTTTGTGAAATGGAAATAGAGTCATTGAAAAATCTTCTCTGCTCGGAACAGGGAAAAGGATACTTTTCGTAAAGTATGGCAGACAGACTAACGATGAAAAGAACAATGACACGTTTATTTTAAAGTCACAATAGGTGACCTGAAAATTCTTTTTTCTAGCAACCAACATCATATACTGTGTATAGCAACAAAGACAACAGCAACAGAAATAATAATAATAATAATAATAATAACAACAACAACAACACAAATAATTAAGCTTGATGAAATCAGAAGTGGGGAATAGAATCCAAGGAGAGGATTTTGAGTAGCAGGAATAAAATTGAAATTACAGATTGGTAGATTCACACTCTAAAAATATTTATCTTTCGATGAATTGAAATCTTACAATGTGCCTTTTGAGCCAATTTTAGGAGCGATGAATGTCATTTTGAAATAAAGTGAAAAAGTGTATATACGAAAAAGGTTGCTTTAACATTACCATCACAACAGCCGGATACAGTCTATCGCCATTTACCATTTCGGTTATAAAATTAAAAAAAACAATAAAGCAAAAAAACAATAAAAGTAAGCAAATAATATAAAATGAAAATACCTCAGAAGAGAAAACAAGCGTTTGTGGCTATCGATTCATCATTCAAGTTTTTTTTTTTTAATTATTCATTTTGAGAATTTGCGAATGTTTTGTCAAGGGATATCACAAAAGGTTTTTTGCATTATCTTTTACCCGTCCCAACTTCACACTCCTTTCGCCTCCGCTGTTTCCTTTTTGTTTTTATTTATCATCTCAATGGTTTACGCGTGAGCACACATGCGCCCTCTTGTGGGAAGGACGGGACGAGATGAAATATCAGGGGTTGACAACTCCAGTGGCTGGAAAGAAGCAAGAAACTCCGGGACGTCTGAAATGACATCATAAACCTTAGCAGCTTTCAAAACAAGCAAAAAATCTTTCTTTCATTTTTTTTTTTTTTTTTTTTTGCTTGTTTTTCCATTGCTGAATAAGGGATTAATAATCTCTGGGTTATATCAATTACTAAAAGAGTGTTCTTTCTTTTTTGAAATTGGTTGCTTTCTCTCTATCTCTCTACTAACCTTTCTCTTTCAAACCCTCTCTACTTCTCTCTATCTTTCTTTTCGCTCTCTCCCCCTGCTTGGATTTTTTCAAAAATTGTGCCATCCTAACATTTCTCTATTTTAAAAATTTCGTCACCCACCTCTCTCTCTCTCTCTCTCTCTCTCTGTCTCTCTCTCTCTTTGACTCTTCTTATTACCCCTTCTCTCTTTATGTTTATATTCTTATATTATGAACTTCCTTTCTTCCTGTCTTTCTTTCTTTCTTTCTTTCTTTCTTTCTTTCTTTCTTTCTTTTCTCTCTCTCTCTCTCTCTCTCTCTCTCTCTCTCTCTCAGGTTTCTTCCCTTACCTATCTCTAATTATTTCCCACTTATATTTTTAAAAATAATTTTACAACCTCTCTCTCTCTTACTGCTTTTATTTTCTACCATTTTGTCTCCTCTTTTTAACTTCTCTCTCTCTCTCTCTTTCTCTCTCTTTTTAATCCCCTATCTGTAATCGTCTCGACCATTATTCGTCCCTTCAATTCCCCCAGGTTGAAAAAAAAATTACTTATACAATCAACACGGATATTATTCGTACACCCATCAATTTTTAATACTTTATGCATTTCTCAGAATCTAATGCCAGTATGATGCCAATTTTTTTATATGTTAATGAGCACCAAAAAAGGAATATAGAACAAAATTTTCAGAACAATAGGTTAAATACAACAAATTTGACAGCTTTAATTATGCAAAATAGGAAAAGATAAAATTCTTTCCTCTTCTGTGAAGACATCATTACTACTCCCCCCTCTCTCTCTCTCTCTCTCTCTCTCTCTCTTATCGCCCTACCACTCCTACACACATCTTTAAAGCTTTTCTCAGAACTTTAAATTATGCGTCAGTGAGAGATTTGTAAGTGACGATCACCCAGTCATTTACTCAGTTGAAGAGAAAAATGAAAGAGGAGTTGAATTAATATTAGATAAAGACAAAGTCAAGTAATTTTTGGTGTATTGGAAACTATCAGTCTTTTTGCGGAAACTAAAGTTTAGCCATTCAATATGGCTATTATATTAATATTTGTATCAACATCAGAAAGCATTAGATATACGAAAAATTAGATATAAGAAAATTCAGAATCTAAGGGTACGTCACAAGAAATCTTTATCACCATAAAAAGAAAAAGTAATCTAAAAGAGAAATGAATATATAAAAGAATTTTTCCTTGACAGCAAGAGAAAAAGTACGTGATGCTGTAAAAAGAAATGCTATATTCGTAGTCATAATGCTGTCAGAACGAATAATAAAAAAGTAGAAAGACCTTATCTACACCTATGTTTCATAGATGGCACA